CCGCTCCAGGGCCCCCAGGGGGGGGGGGGGTCAGGACTATAGTAGAAAAAAAACAGGAGGGTCCCTCCCGCGGGGTAGGAGGAGAGGGGGAGAGCCACCAGACCCGGCGTACCTGTCATGTAGAATAGTCCAGCTCTGCGATCTCCCTCCTCGTGCATCGCCTGCAGCTCTTGATACAGCCCCGACACTTCCGCTTCTGACAGACAGCAGTGGCGGCCAATCAGGCGGGTGGGCCGGATAAATGACCCTGGTGGGCCATATCCGGCCTGCGGGCCGTAGTTTGAGAACCCCTAATCTAGATTAATGCAGCCCAGTATGTTGCCTATATAGTACAAAATATACTCTACTGAGTAATAATCTTATATGTAATCAAGTTTACTATCTTTCTCTTTTATTCATCCCTGTGTTAAATGACAAATCTAAATATTACACAGAGGTCAGTGTAATGAAATCTTGATTGTTATTTCTGTTGTAAAAATATGTTATGAAGGGCAGTTTGGAGTATAGAAGGGAGGGGTAAGTGAATTAACCTTTTCTTGATTATTGTTTTTCTAATCCTCTAAGTCTCTTTACCTATGAAGTTCCAGATGTCTTTGCAAGATAAAATATATGTTTGGAACCTCATCTGGAATGACAGCTAATAGAGAAGAATCACATGAAAAAAGTGGCCATTAGGGTTAAGCATTTTCTTATCTCCCCTCTACTAGTTCTTTACTTCAAATTTTCTCCTTCGCTGACAAAACGATTTAGTTGGAGATACAGGTATCTGCTACAAACCACTTTGCCAAAAATGGTGACGCATGCATCGTGATACAATCCTGGCCTTGCATAGTTCGTCCCAATGTTATATACAAGTACATAAGTCACAGGTTTTGTATCATGATATTATGATACACATTATGTCAGTTGCCTCCCTGGATGGATGCCTGAGGTGAGAGATTTGTTATATGTTGCCTTTGGAGATCTTCAAGAAGGAATAGGACCCAGTTTATGTTTGTGATTCAAAAAGGTTCTTGTGTAGTAAGGATATGAAGGACAGGTTTATATCCTTCCATCCATAACTTGAACATGTCCAATTATTTCTTGATGGCCCATATATTCATAAAGAGTTTAGTGTTTACAGCCTAAACCTCACAGTTTAGCTTATTGAGACATCAGTGGATTTAGGCGCAAATACGTTTTCCTCGGAATAGTTGTTAATGGAATAAATGACTTGAAAAATATGCATCAACATACTTGCCAGGATATCTGATACCAGAAATTATACCTGAAATTTCTTGGCATACTAATAGCGCTTGCTTCTTTCAGAATTTAAATTGGCTTTCTCTGCAAATGTGTTTAGAGCTTAGGCCATTGAACCAATATAATTATTGACAGTGTAGCAAGTGCCTTATCTGTGGTGTCAGCTTTATGATTATTTTGCACATGAGATTAGTCTCTTTCCACTGGCCTTTAACCTAGAAAGCATGTATACAACAATTAATAAGATTTTAATAATCCTTTGCAATTACAGAATTTCGTGTTTAATTCTATATTTCTAACTACAACGTTTAAAAAATCTAATGTTTATATAAAAGAATAAAATCTAATAAGAAAAATCTGCCTCATACTTAATGCGTCAAAATTTACTGTTCTGCTGAAAATGCACATATGAACATCAACACCTATGAATGGACAGAAATTAATTTGAAAACAAATGACTGCTTCCATCCTTTCCCCACTTTTTTTTTTTAATTGTAATTTAAGATGTTAGTTATATACTATGTTAAAGTGGCATATTTTCAAAAGAATGATACCTCGAAATTGGGTTGTGAGAACCAGCTTCTTGGAACATCATTTGAAACTTAATGTCCTATTCTTTGGTAGCTTTTAAAAACGTAGGATTTGGCCTTCGCACGTTTATAAAGCAACTGGACTACTAGGGAGGGACATGGTTTATTATTAAGGGACTGGTGCCTCTGCTCGGCCTTGGGATGCGCTGGCCGTGGTACTCAAGCCCCCGGCGGTGACGCCCCTTCCCGCCCCTTCGGGCTTCACGCTGTCTTCCTGCTCGGCTCCGTCCCCTCGGAACGGCTGAATGGTTCGTTCCCAGCCTCCCAATCCCCGCCCTCCTCCCGCGTCTTGGTTCGCTCCTCCCCGTGCTGTTGATGCGGAACTGGCCGGGCGCCTGTGTGCGGGGAGGACGCGGCCTCCGCTGACAGGTAAGACGAGCAGGCCGCGTGTAATGGCTGCAGGAAGCGTAACGGGACCGCCCGCCTTCGCCCTCTCTGTGACATATGCGGCGGAGGGCTGAGGGCAGCGAGGAAAGACGGGTAGGGTGCAAGGAGCCTGTGGGGCGGCTGGGCTCGAGATGGAGGGAGAAGCCGAGCTTGAGGAGGGACCACGGGAAGCCGGTCCGTGCAGAAGGGCTCTGCGTGGCTAGGAGGGCGGCGGGGACTTGGGCAGCGAAGGGAAGGTTTTGGGGGTTGGTGGGTGACGAAGCACGGATGTTGCAGCAGGGAGGCGCGGGAGTGGGAGTGCAAGTTCAAAGATGGAAGGGGGTGGCTGGGCAGCTGACGCAGGGATGGTTGTCGTGTGGGGCAGGGAGGTGAGGATAAGCGTTGCGGGGAGAGTCCGGGGGAGCAGGGAGGGAGAGCGCCTGGGTAGGGAAGGCTGCAACAGCCGGTCCTGGAGTCTGCTAGGCGTGTGTGCTGTGGAAGGACTCTACGTGTGTGTGTGTGTGTGTGAGAGAGAGAGAGAGAGAGCGCGCGAGAGCGCGAGCGCTCGCGTGGAAGGTTTATCTGGATTTTGTCTGGACTCACCATACAAACCTTCGTGCTGAATATGCGCATGACAAACTCCTTCCTTGATCGTCTACCCTTCAAGGCTGGTTAGTGCAGCTGCGCGCCACCATTGCAATTGTTTTCCTAAATTCTGTCTGTGGTCTTGCAGGAGGCTAGGTTAGGCTAGGATGAAATTTAGTTTGCACAGGGTGTTGTTTAAACTAGCTAGTGTGGTTAGATAATGGTCCATTGTATTGTGCAAATTGAAGCAGTTGGCTTAATTAAGTAAACTATGGTTTGAGTGTTATGTGTGCAAAGCCTTTGTAGGGATAGTTGACCAGGGTTATTGATACGAGAATTTACCAAAAACTGCACCTTGAAAATACCACTACTTTTTCGGTAGATAGAGTATCTTCTTTGGTCCCACAGCTCCAGCATATTCTTTTGGAAGGTTTTATGTTATTCCAGAGGTCCCTGGATCTTCTCATGTTTCATATTTAAGGACCCCAAAAATGGTGAATGTATTTCTTTGCTATACCATGCAAAAAATTTGGGTGAATGATCTCACTTGCATTTGAGGGCTGCAGCTTGTACAGCTGGAAAATTACAGAATGTTTATCATGGAATGATGGATGTTGTTTCCTCAGGGTTAAAGCAATCTGGAAGAGGACAGAACACATTTGAAAGTAAGTGCCATTGACAATTAGTCTTGAACTGATGCACAGAGAACTGGGTCTCTAGTTATACATCTAGTTGCATCAATATATTTCACTTTTCTTGGAAGTATCATATAAAGTTATCTGACATAAATAGTTACTGAATCTGGAGCTATGGTAGGCTTTTTTAAAGCTTGTCATAAATAATTTCACTGGAAAACAAATGCTTCTACTATATTATTATTGACTGTTTTTTTAGAATAAAATGTTTGAGCATTTGAAAAAAATATTTAGACTGTAGTATTTTCATCTTCTGAGTAGAACCTCTGTAGGATTTAGTTATTTAGTTATTGATCTTGCATCTACAAATTCCAGCATACATGTAATTTTTTTGCAAAGTCTGTCTGGCAAATTTAGAGTGATAAATATTATTTATTAAAGTTAATTTTAAAAAATAATATATTCCCTATTAGTTTAAGAATATTTTTTAATATATGAATCATTTGTGGTATTACATTTGTAATCTAACTGAATAACACAACATGGGCTAGAATGTATTCTGCTTTCTTTCCTGTGTTAAATATTTATGGGTGCCAAACTGTATAAAAGGATACTACAGTATCTTGTGAAAATGTTCACATTTGTCTTTTGAGTTGTGTCTGTGAAACTTACACTGGTACTCAATTTCCTCTTCTATTTTATTCTTCATTAATAACATTCTGTTACAAAATAAATGATGAAACCCTCAAATGTGCATAATATCCACTGTGGAAATTCTTAGATCCTGGAACATTGGTGAATCTTTAATAAGTTTTCCACAACTGTGAGGCAGTCATTTTGAATATCTTTGAAGATAGTCTTTCTGGAGTATCAGTAGTTTCAAATCTTACAGGTTCAAATCAAAATCTTGAGTTATTGCCTTAAAATAATAAATGATAGCACAGGATAGCACTAAATATTCTTGAAATTTAGTAGCACTAAATATTCATGATATTTAGTGTATGACTTGCATATTTTAAATTTCCATTGCTGTCTTCATGAGTGGAGAAGATATATATCCTGGAAAGAATTATCTATTTATTTATTATTTACCTGCTTAAATCAAAAGATATACATAGTAGTTTATGTATAGTTTAAAAATGCTAATTAAGTATACATTCTCACTTTTCTAAAAAAAAACAACAACAGTGAAATTATTGTATAGGGGATGGAGAAAAAAGTTATATATATTTTAGGAAT